CGGGGCTGGGTACCATGGTGGCTGGTTGTATATATCCAGCTTAAACACCATCATTAGGTTTCAGAGTGAACGGGTGCCGGAGATGGAAGCGCCTGGGAGTGTAGGGTGTGGGCACCTCTGGGGGCTGGATGGCCATCGGAAGGGTGCCCATCTGGAGGTGGGGGTCTCTTTGAGGGTCTTCAAGGTGGGTTATGGGGGGACAGTGTTGCCTGGGCACACGGCGCACGTGTGCACACACATGCACACGTACACGTGCGTGCCACAGCACCCAGTCCTGCAGCAGGTCCCAAGCACCTGGGTCCCTCACTTGAGTCCTCTCCCATGACCCTATGGCCATCCCCCCATCCCATGCCTCAATTTCCCCCTGGTTCTCCAGGGACCACCCAAAGCTGATGTCCTGGCATTGACTTTATTGCAGGGGGATTTCTGGTGGTTCCTGGCTATGGGGATGGTCTGCTGGGCCACCGGGGCGAGGATCCACCCGGGCTGGTGCCCATCTGGGCTAGGATCTGCCCAGGATGGTAGCCTTCAAGGCTGGGGTTCTTCTGGGCCAGGGTCCATCAAGGCTGGCATCTGTTGGGCTGGTGTCCCCCTGGACCAGGATCTGTCCAGACCAGTGTCCATCAGGGTTGGCAGCCATTGAGCTGGTGTCCATCTGGACCAGGGGCTATCCATGATGTCACCTATTGGGTCAGGTGATGAACACCAGACCATCTGGGCTGGTGTTCATCAGAGTGGTGTCCATCTGGACCAGGGTCCATCCAGGATGGTATCCATTAAGCCAATATCTGTTGGACCAGGGTCCATCCGGACCATCATCCGTTGGGCCAGTATCCATCTAGACCATGATCGAACCTTGCCTGCACCCATCCAGACCAGGATCCACAGGCCCGGTCCTCACTATAGAGGAGAGGAGAAACCACGATGAGTCCCAGCATCACCTCCCACTTCCACCCCCACCAAACCCCCATCTGGTCATGCCGGACTGGACCAAACACCCAATCAGGCACCAAACCTCCAACCCCTGGAGATGCTACAGAGCTTGGTGCTCACCTTGAAGCCATGCCAGGTCTCGATCTCACGGAAGAGGGAGTTGCCGGGACAGTCGGTATGACCCATCTGGCGGTGGCCACGTAGCGTGTAGTTATGATGGAGCCGGCCGGTCCGCACGGCGCAGGGCAGGAGCCCGTCTCTCACCAGGGCGATGGTGTCAGGATCCGGCAAGATGGCCGAGAAGTCTCCAACGTAGCCCACGCCGTAGCCTTTGCTGTTGTAGCCTTTGGTGTGGGCACCAACCCAGTGCCAACCCCGACCTTGGTACAGGTACCCATCCGACCCCACCACGAAGCTGCAAACACCCATGGGTCAACCTGAGCTGCCCGGAGATGGGTGCCGGGGACCTCCATGAGGTGACGGTGACGGGATCTCACCTGTAGCCGATGTCATCCCAACCACGGATGTCTTGGTGGAAGCGTTGCATGGCACGCATGGCGCGGGCGCAGGCCGTGAAAGTGCGGCACGGGGCGCTGGGTATGAAGGTGTGGTGGATGTAGATGGAGTCCAAGGGGAGGGTCAACGGCTTGGGGGTGCCCCGGTAGGGACGGGCACCCCACATGCACCGGGGCACGATGGCCGGGCAGTCTGCGAGGGAAGGCAGGTGGTGGAAGAAGGGGACTTGCCTGGTCCCACGGGCAGTTGGGGACATGGCAGAGTCCCCTTGGGGTCTTGGGGACGTGGAGCATCTGCTCAGCTTGGGAACCTCTTGGCCTGGGACATGGTAGTGTCCTCCTGAGGTCCCTTCATCTAGGGGAGGTGGAGCATCTGCTCAGGGTGTCCCTCAGCTGGGGACATGGCTGTGTCCAGTGTCCAGGGGACACACTAGTGTCCATCCAGAGGGCATGGTGGTGACCAGCCAGGGGACAAAGCAGTGTCCAGGGACCCATTATCCAAGGAACATGGTGTTGTCCATCCAGGGACCACCATCTGGGGACACACCAGTGCCCATCTAGGGGACACAATGGTGTCCAGCCAGGAGACACACCGATGTCCAGCCAGGAGACCTGTGGGTGTCCATCCACAGGACATGGTGGTGTCCATCCAGGAGACACACCAACATCTGTCCAGGGGACGCACTAGTCTCCATCCAAGGGACCTGTGGGTGTCCCTCACGGGGACACACCAATGTCCATCCAGGGAACACGGTGGTGACCATCCAGGGACCACCACGTGGGGACACAGTGGTGTCCATCCAGGAGATACACCAATGTCCATCCAGGGGACACGGTGGTGTCTGACCATGCCGGGCCATGTGTCACCAGTCAGCTCTCAGAGCTCAACTGCCCCCAGGGCCACCTACACTGGGGTGACACTGGGGACACCCAGCCCCACCCAGGGTGCAGCTTCTCCACCCATCCTCCCACCCGATTTTTTGGGGGACACACACAGACGTGATATCGCGACCGGGTGCCACCTCCCTACCCACGTAGACCTCCATGAAGTCCCGTGCCGCTTGATGAGCGATGGCCACCACCTCCTCCGGCCCCACATCCTCCAAGAGCTCCTGGGTGGGTGGCAGCACCCGCAGCACCCTCAGCATCGCCGCCACCTCCTCCTCCAGCTTCCCTGGCTCCGTCAGCACCCCGAAATCTCGTCGCCGGTAACTGCTGGGGGGTCGCCCCTTCTCCGTGCCGTTGCCTGTCCCGTAGTAGCCCCGGAGAAGGTCGGCGAGCGGGATGGGTGCTCGGGTGAGGCGTGCACCCAACAGCACCCCATCCATCGCCCCGTTGGCGATGGCATCAGGGATGAGTGACGGGGGTCCCAGCAGGGTGTAGTTTTGGGGGTCGTCTACGTCGTCCCAACAGCCGCCGGGTCCCAGCGTGGTTCGGTTGCCATCACCATCA